AGTGAATTGTGGCTTGGACACAATGGACTCTTGCACTGAAAACTGCTATTTGACCTCTTGGTTGAGTCCCATCTCTCCACCAGCGATGAAAGAATTTGATATTTGTTTGTGAAACAAGTTTGAGGTCCATGGGAACAATGACCTTAAAGGAGAAGACCAATTTAGTAGCTTTTGCTTATGGCTAATATTTGTAATCACAGCTCAGGTTTAGTTGCACGTAGACTTCTTCCCTATCATCTATAGTAAGATATAGAAGCTATGCTTTGGGACTATAAACCTTCATTCAAAAGGAAGAAACTGTAATCATTATGCAGTCCCAGCATGCACCAGTGCTGCCACTGTGCACCAGTTCACAGAGGGAGGACCTTACAGACATAGATGATTGAGTTTGGTGTGGACGAACTTGATTGGCTTGCACGGTCTATCTGATATCATTGTGTTGATGTTTTTCTAGGATCAACATTGCATCTGACAAATCACATAATTATGATGTCATAGCTTTGCAGCTTGGACAATAACTTGCCGATGTCCTTTCATGAAAAAATCTTTAAAAAACAGAGCGACCAACGTTTTGTAGATCCAGGAATAACACCAACATGATGAGTATCTCACATCGAGAGCCTTGCACAGAGTCCTGACCTCAACCCAACAGAACACCTTTGGGATGAATTAGAGCAGAGACCAACCCAGCCCTTTATCTCCAACATCAGTGTCTGAGCTCACAAAGGCACTTTCTAAAATCCCCAAAGGATTTGAAGCTGTTATAGCTGCAAAGGGTGGATAGGGTGTGTCGACATCACATCCTTTGTAGCGATAGAATCTATAGATTAAGAATGGGATGTTCACATGCAGGTGAAGGCAGACGAGCAAATACTTTTGGAAATATTGCGGGGCGATCGTGGCTCAAGAGTTGGGAGTTCGCCTTGTAATCGGAAGGTTGCCGGTTCGAGCCCCGGCTTGGACAGTCTCGGTCGTTGTGTCCTTGGGCAAGACACTTCACC